GAGTTTCCTAACCTGTTCTCTACAAAGATAAACTCTCTAAATTGTGTTGATTAAGGTATTCTCTCTACTCTAATGTGTGACCATTATATTATCAATACATGCTTGCTATAAGACACACTGTAATTCACGTTCTTCTCCAAGCAAATTAATTCAATCCTTCTCAAAGCTGAAGGCTTGGGCATGGGTGATCTCACTGATTTATATGAACTGAGACGGCCTTCAGAGGGTAGAGGAGGGAAGAGAGAAAAGAGAGGATCGATCACTTGCCTCTGTCTTCCCCACCAAGTGGTTTTGTGCAGGGGAACCCCAGACAGTCCTGTGGCATGGCCATATCTTTAGTCTCGAACAGGGTAATAGCAAATAACTGAGCCTTTTCCCTTCAAACATGACAACTTCTTTATCTATCAGGGTCTTCACATTTTCTTGCTCCTTCTGTCTGTGGTGCATGTCCCCATATTCCCCCACAGCTCCGTCTTTTCCATCTTTCAGGTTCTTTCTCAAGAGGCCTTCATTCCTGGCTAAAGTAGTCTCCTGCTCCATCCTACCCAGTAAGCCTATTAAAGCATCTCCCCAACATCTCTCTGGGCCTGAAGATATCTTATTTGCTTATGTGTTTATTACCTATCTCCATCAACTTGGGCATAAGCTCCTGGAGGGCAGGCAGCTCACATCCCCAGATGCTTGGGACACTGCAGGTGCTTAATAAATATGTGTGGACTTAACTGTGGGGAGACAGGTCCTCCTCCCTGTAAACCTCACCCCACCCCCTCCCCAATCTCCATGCCAGAAAGGCCTGGAACTGAATAGTATATCCAAGGGAGTGGTGCTCCCTGGCCCTTGGCAGTACCCTATAGTCTCCTGGCAATTGGAGGGACTATAGCTTTGTCTGTGGTTTAGCCTCAGCTCAAATCCTGATCCACACACCTGGGGCATTGTTTCAGGGAGTCAATGTCATGACTGCCAGGGTACAAATTCCTGTGCCAGCTTTTAGCAGCTGGATGATCTTGGGCTAATTATTTAATCCCACTAGGCCGGAATTTCTTTATCTTGACAAACGGGATATAAAGCACATTGCCTGCAGAGTTGTGAAAATTCACTGAGATAATGAATGTAGCGGGCTGTGCCCAGGGCCTGCCACAAGGTAAGCTCTGAATAAATTGTAGTTCTGAATTTATTAATGATAGAAGATAATTTATACTCGTGCCACTAGTCCCTCTCCCACGATGGACCCCACTAATTGATTATACCATTTTTTCTCTTAAAAAAAAGAAAGAAAGAAAAGGTTTCTCAACCTTCATGTAACAACACCTTCTCCTAGAGGGTCACTACCAATCAATCATTCAGTGTTGGGGTGCAAATGGAACCCTATTAGCCCGTCCTGATTCAGGAAACTCTTAACAAGCTGTCAGACAGGATTATTAACATTGAGCTTGATGTTCAAAAGGAGATTGGTAAATTTCGCTTCTCGACAAGTGGTATATTCAGCAATATACATCCATGAACAAACCCATTAACATGGAAAAAAGAATAGTAATGGGAGAACCTGTTCTTGATTATTGAGACTGGAGAGGAAAACCCTGCCTCCTCCCATTTGGTCTGGCTCCCAAGAGATTATAAAATCAGGACCACCAGAAGGCAAGTTGTGAGCAGTGCTCTAATTTACTCTCTGGTATATTCCTTTAGATGTAATCACTCTGACCAAAATTGGAAGAAATTATCCCTCATGATTGGCTCCCTTTGAATTTTCATTAAATATTCCAGATGCCTCCTAACAATTTCTGGATTCTAATCAATATCAAGAGGACTATAATTTTCATTAACTTATTTTTAAATGATAGAGAGTCCAGCAGATTAATACCTTTTTGGTACCATTTTAGAAGTGACAATGAGATTATTAAGGAGCTTTTCACATAGCTGAGGAGCCCGATGGTTTGGATGGATAGCAATATGTTCAGAACAAAAATGTGAAGGAGCTAAAAAGATAAACTATAGAAGTAAAAATTGAAAGTGAGGCTTGTGTTTAATTTACTTCTGTCAAGTCTGGCTCTTCCCCAAAAAACAAATTAGGAAATGCCAACTTTCCCACATTCCCACTTTCTTTTCTTATTTCCACTTTCTTTCTTATTCCCATTTTTGGTCAGTTTTATTTCCTGAAGGACCAGTGCCCCAACTTTCTCCATCAGTTTCATCATCAAATTTTCCCCCAGGAAATTAGTTGGGATAAAGCTAATTCATACAGAGTAGAAATGTTTTGTGTGTTAATATTTCCTCTTATAACAATACACAGACTTCATGGCTTAAAGACTTATGGCCTGAATTATGTCCCCACCAAAGTTATGTGTTAGAGTCCTAACCCCCAGTAACTCAGAAATTGGTGTTTTGGGAGATAGGGTCTCTAAAGCAGTAATCAGATGAAGTCATTGGAGTGGGCCTTAACCAATATGAGTCATGTCCTTATAAGAAGAGATTAAGACACAGACAAACACAGAGGGCAAACCACTTGAAGATGGAGGGAGAAGATGGCCATCTACCAGCCAAGGAGGAAGTTAACCCAAACTGACACTTTTTTTTGTTTTATATTTTGTTCTTTTTATTTGTTTTTTTAAGATTTTATTTATTTGAGAGAGAGAATGAGAAAGAGAGAGTGCGCATGAGAAGAGGGAGGGTCCGACAGAGAAGCAGAATCCCTGCCAAGCAGGGAGCCTGATGTGGGACTCGATCGTGGGACTCCAGGATCATGACCTGAGCCAAAGGCAGTCGCTTAACCAACTGAGCCACCCAAGTGCCCCAAACTGGCATTTCAATCTTGAACTTCTGGCCTCTAGAACCGCGTGGAAGTAGATTCTTGTTTAAGCCACTCAGTCTATTTTGTTATGGCAGCCCTAGCAGACCAATACAAGTAGATTTGGAATCAGTCAAACTTATGTTAGAATCTCAACTCTTCCATTTAATAACTGTGAAATCTCAGACAGATAACTCTTGGAGCTTTAGTTTTCTCAACTATAAATGGAGATGACAATGCCTACCTCATGGAGTGCTTATAGGGAGCACTCCCTATAAGACACTCTACGTTACTGGTAAGCATAGTACCTGCATAGTGTCTGGAACTTAGCACTTCATCAAGTATTATTATCATCACTATTACTACTTTTATACTGGAATTTTAACTGGATATAGATGGATGAGATTTGTACTTTTATACCATCACTTGTCTTTACACTATTGCAAACACTTACTGAATATTTATATCCTGGATCACACTGCCCTGGTGGCTTCTCACTTCTAAGTGGCCCTTAATTCCCTTACAAATGGCATTGTAAGCTACAGGTGGCCTTGATCTTCAAAATGTAGATAAGAATTGTGTAAAAATATAAGCAAAGTCCACCCTGCACTAAAGGAGGTGAGAAGAGTCTGCACCAACAAATGAAATAAATTTTAAATGTATAGAACTATCAGTGATTATGGTTAGACAAATTGTTTATTAAATGATTAATACTAATAAGGAAGGAACTTGTTTCTAAATAACTTTCGGAGAAAGCCTCTTAAATGTAGGTTCTCAGATAAGTGTCTTGACTTGTAGAATATTTATGTGATAATTATTGTTTCAGGTCAGACACATTAAATTTCTTTTTATTTTTTTAAGATGTATTTATTTATTTGAGAGAGTGAGAACATGAGCAGTGTGGAGGGGCAGAGGGAGAGGGAGAAGCAGACTCCCCAGTGAGCGTGGAGCCCATCCTGGGGATGATCCAGGACCCTGAGCTCATCACCTGATCTGAAATCAAAAGTCAGATGTTCAACCAACTGATCCACCCAGGTGCTCCCAGACACATTAAATTTCAAAAAAACATTATGAATTTTGACATTTGAAGTACTTTTAGTATATATGGCTTCTCTAGCAATCAAAACTTGGAAGGGAAGACCTCAGTAAAACTAATACCATATCCCTTACCCTACAGTTTCACAAAAAGTTTCTAAAACAGATCACTCAAAATATTTACCCACAAAGCATTCTCCATAGTCAATACAAATGTGTCAAGTTGCCTTGCATTATACCAGCAAGCAGGAATAGAACCTCTTTGGACCTCTGGGTTCTAGGATTTTAGAAGCAAGCACAATAGCATCAACTGCATTTTTGAATGCTTTCCCCAAGATTTTAGCAATTAGTGGAAGTAAGGCTGAAATTGAACCAGCCAGGTACAGAACACCAAAATATAAAACTGATATAACCTTCCTTCTGAGTTTCATTCCCCATGTGCACACTCTATCCCAGGCTGTTCCTTCCTAGCATCAGTGAGCTGTCCCCTCTTTGTCTTTCTACCCCAACTATGGCAAGAAATTTCTCCATTCACTTATCTTAAGCCCATGTTACCAGCCCTGCAGCTGTATTTTCGAGTCTGTCCCCCTTGTTCCTGTTGCTAGGCCCTCTCCTCCACTCTCTGGTGCCCAAAGCCCACCACACCCTCCTCTTCTCAATTATCTATCTCTTACCTATTTCTGGTGCAATATGGCTGATCACAACTCAAGAAATCCTGAGCAGAAAAGCTGAGAGGAGGGGGAGACCTTGGTCCCACTCTTGTATCAGGCCTCTGGGGAGTTCCTGCAGCATAGCTGTTAAGAGTATATCATTAGATTGTCAATCTAAACCTCCCCAAATCTAGAATTGACCCAAATAAATACACATTAAAATCTTTGGAGAAGTAGCCTAACAAAAGAAAAATAGACAAAAGTTTGATTTTTTTTGGACTTCTTTTTTAATATTCATTTATTTATTTATTTATTTTTAGAGAGTATATGCATTTTGGGGGGAGGCAGGGGCAGAGGGAGAGAGAGAATCTTAAGCAAGCTCCACGATCTTGTGTGTGGATCTAAGTGTGGAGCCCAATGTAGGTCTCAATCTCACGACCCTGAGATCATGGCCCGAGCCAAAATCAAGAATCGGACACTTAACCAACTCAGTCACCCACATGACCCGTGATTTTTTTGGGCTTCTTTTACAGTTGATTTCCTCTTCAAGAAGAATAAGAGCAAGATAACTTCCTTTGAATTGAAGTGAAATTCTCTGTTATGAATGGCTATGTACACAAGACTTGCAGAAAACTGTTTCTCAGCATCTCCATCAGCACAGAAATTACCACAGGGACGTGTTCTCTAAGCGTCTGTTAGGGTGGCACCTTCCCATTGTCCAGCAGAGGAGAAAAGAAAGACTGCCTTGTGGTTATTATACATGGTATAATGGAAACGTCTTTGCACATGTATTTTTGCTCACGAAATTGCTGGGCCCAGCAGAAAACTAAATTTTTTTATGCTTTTCTTAAGTAATGATAAATCAATAGATTTATTCAGCTTAGCTTCTCTGTGCTCACAGCTCATGGTAAATCATGGAGGTGGTAGACAGGGCCACACTTATTTCCTTTGTGTAGTCTCCTTCCATCTCCCAGCTTTTCTGCCGGTTCAGGTGACCTCACTCCATAGGCTAGCTTTGTTATTCATGGGTAAACTAGCTTTGCAAGTGCTCTCCACTAGTCTTTGATTCACCAATTCCCCACATCACTGATTTTGTATCTGACCTGACTCTACTGGCTGTCTCTTTCATCACATTGTAATTTGTCAATCAATTTTATCGACCAGTGTGTTTTATTTTAAAAATTCTTTTAGGCTATACTGATGAGAGAAGACAGAAGCTGATAATGTTGCAATCATCTGAATTCATGGAGGAATTTGGATTGATACTGCTGGATGTGGCAGCTTCTGTGAGCATCGGGGACATCTCTTGCAGATGGTAAAATCTTCTCATGCTTTCACAGGCAGATCTATTCTATTGTACATGGGAAAGAAACCACTGGAGCATGCAATTTTGACTAGCATAGTCACAGAATTCCCAGAATAGTAACTAAAGGAATAAAAGCAGAGGTTAAAAATGACATTAAGAGCAGCAAATATAATGCAATGCTCCTTATAAACATGTAGTAGATACTCGTTAACAGATTAAGAGACAAAGAAGGTACCAAAATGTGACTTGGTGCCCACCTTCAGAAAATGCAGTCACTGACCAGCTGCAGATACTCAGGATGCAAGACTTCACCATCCCCTGCCCCAGGTGATGGGGAGAACTTGAACGAGGCAAGTGTCACTTAAAAGAGAAAGCTTCTTGGAGCACCTTGGTGGTGCAGTCTGCTAAGCATCCTACTCTCAGTTTTCGGCTCAATTCTTGATCTCAGGATCTTGAGATCAAGCCCTGTATCGGGCTCAAGACAGAGTCTTAAAGCAGACTCTGCCTCTCCCTTCTACCATGTGTGTGCTCTCTCTGTCTCTCTCTAAAATAAATTAAAAAAAATTTTTTTTAAAGGGGAAGCTTCTTTCATCTTTAGTAGTGGCAACATCGATGGAACTTCTCTCTGTCTTAAGATCTCCAAATGAAGCTAATACATACCTATTGTTTGACATCAAACTCTGCCTTGTCAACATGAACTGAAATTCACATACTTTCAATAGAGATGTTTGGTCTTCTGTTTAACAATGTGTTGACTCAGGGCGCCTGGGTGCCTCAGTGGGTGAAAGCCTCTGCCTTAGGCTAGGGTCACGGTCCCATGGTCCTGGGATTGAGCCCCGCATCGGCCTCGATGCTTAGCAGGGAGCCTGCTTCTTCCTCTCTCTCTCTCTGCCTGCCTCTCTGCCTACTTGTGATCTCTGTCAAATAAATAAACAAAATCTTTAAAAAAAAAATGTGTTGACTCTATTTTTGCCCTTGTAGAAGAAAATGTTTACCTACGTTTGGCCCTAGACACTACTGTCTTTGAAAAGTTTACTTATTCTAGTACTTTTAAAAAACTAAATAGGCCAGATTTTAGGAAAGATACCATCAACTATTTGGGCTCTCTAGACCTGGGGCCAGAAGCTGTGACTGATATTGATTTACTCCTAAGGGGAATAGAGGTTTCCCCTGTCTAACTCTGGGGACAGAAGAGGACAGCCCATTGCCAGTCATCTTTGAACAGGAATACAGATGGGACTTGCAATGAGGATGAGAAAGGAACTGTTCCTTTCTCTTGAGCCAGAGATTAGACTGGCCATCTAGGGTATGGTGGCAGGTGGAGATTTTAATTTTTGAGATTGAGCCAACCTCTGTGACTTAAACATCTATCCTGCCATGGGCCTAAGAGTAGCCACTTTTGATGGCGTAACTGAACTACTCTCAAAAGTCAAGTGATATATACAAGGCAAAGCTTCGCTATATCGTCTTTGTCACTTGCAAATCTTTTTCTGAATATAAAAGTAGAATTAAGTTTTTTATTCACTTTTGTATCCCTAGCATCTAGCTAGCTCTTAACACACATTTTATTGGATTGAATATTCATAAAATTCAATGGAATTATCAATATAGGAGTTTTATCTATATTCAATAAAGGCAGCAAGCCCTTAAGTGACTTACTTCTCACTTGATCTCCACCCGTGGAAAAAGTCTGGTTCAACTAGCCTGCTTTCATTTTTATTAAACTAAATTGGTTGATCCTGTCACTGAAAACAGTTGAACCCACTGGTATTCTCACAGGCCTACAGTGGAGAGAAGCACTGATTCATCCCAATGTCGTTCTGAGCGTCGTCTCCATTTCTTTCAATGTAGTTGCTTGGCTAGGCCAGCAAAAAGCATCAAAGCCAATAAATGGTTTGTTTTCCCAATCCATGTAAAGTCACATTTTCATGATGTTCTTAGACCTACTGAAATTAAGCCACATATTCTTTTTTTTTTTAATTTTTAATTTTTTAAATTTCTTTTCAGTGTACCAGAGTTCATTGTTCATGCACCACACCCAGTGCTCCCTGCAATACATGCCCTCCATAATACCCACCACCAGGCTGACCCAACTTACCACCCCCGGCCCCTTCAAAACCCTCAGATTGTTTTTCAGAGTCCATAGTTTCTCATGGTTCATCTCCCCCTCCAATTTCCCTCAACTCCCTTCTCTCCATCTCCCCATGTCCTCCATGTTATTTCTTATGTTCCACAAATAAGTGAAACTGTATGATAATTGACTCTCTCTGCTTGACTTATTTAACTCAACATAATCTCTTCCAGTCCCTTCCATGTTGATACAAAAGTTGGGTATTCATCCTTTCTGATGGAGTCATAATACTCCATGGTGTATATGGACCACATCTTATCCATTCGTCCGTTGAAGGGCATCTTGGTTCTTTCCACAGTTTGGTGACTGTGACCATTGCTGCTATGAACATTGGGGTACAGATGGCCCTTCTTTTCACGACATCTGTATCTTTGGGGTAAATACCCAATAGTGCAATTGCAGGGTCATAGGGAAGCTCTATTTTTAATTTCTTGAGGAATCTCCACACTGTTCTCCAAATTGTAAGCCACATATTCTTAAAAACCAGTTATATAGTCATAAAAATAAAAAAGGAATTAATTAATGAAAGCTATAGTTTGGTGCACCTTGATCTGAGAATATAAAGAATGTCATGTTTTTAGAAACCTAGTATGTGAAAGGGACTGTACTATTTTCCTTAGCATTTACTTTTCTTTTCTTTTCCTTTCTTTTTTTTTCTTTTCTTTTTTAGTATACATTTATTTAATTGGTTCTCTTTGGTCAAACATTTATATTTTGAGACTTCTGTGACATACTCCCAAACTATTCTTACTTACTATTTCATCATCAACATTTTACAACAATAAAAGAGGTTAATTTCCTAATGGAGGCCCCACCCAAACTGGGTATTATATAATTTTTCCTACTACATTGTTATCTCAATTGATATTAGTAATTTACGTGACCTATTGCACTAGCTTCATAAATTATCTTTTCTTCCTACAATCACTATCAATAAATTCTCAAAACAGTAACTTTTAAATTTTAAACTATGAAATATTTTTAACAGATTTTAATTTAGATATAAATTACATATAAAATTTTCAATTTAAAGTATATGATCCAGGGGTGCCTAGGTGGCTCAGTGGGTTAAGCCTCTGCCTTTGGCTCAGGTCATGATCTCAGGATCCTGGGATCGAGCCCCACATCGGGCTCTCTGCTCAGCAAGGAGCTTGCTTCCCCCTCTCTCTCTCTGCCTGCCTCTCTGCCTAGTTGTGATCTCTCTCTGTCAAATAAATAAAAAAATCTTTAAATAAATAAATAAATAAATAAAGTATATGATCCAATGGTTTTTATCCTTAGCATTTTCCTGTGTAATTTCTCAGTACAACTCTTAGATTTAGGTATTACATTTTCCACTTTATTGGAAACCTGAGGAAACTGAGGTTCAAAAAGGGTCATTAATTCACTTCACAAATATTTATATATATTTTTAATTTTATTTATTTATTTGACACAGAGAGAGAGTGGGAGAAAGAGAGAGAGAGCACAAGTAGGGGGAGCAGGAGACAGAGGGAGAAGGAGAAGCAGGCTTCTTGCCGAGCAGGGAACCCGATGTGGGGCTCCATCCCAGGATCCTGGGATCATGACCAGAGCTGAAGGCAGACGCTTAACTGACTGAGCCACCCCTGTGGCTTTAGTACTCATTATATTCCAGGCACTGTTCTAGATGCAGGGGATATATAACAGTAAGCAAAACAAGGTCCTCATGGCATTTATGTCCTTCTGGCTAGTCAGCAGATTTACATACAGATCTGTCACATCCGAATATTCATGCTCTTTTCGCTGCACATGGCAACTGGAACGGAAGAAATCAGAGAGAGAAGACTGCAATATTTTAGTAATCGGAATACATGTTATATGGTGCTAAGGGAGAGTACCCAAAAAGTAAATTTCAATTCTTGGTTCTAAATTGTGTCAACTTTTTAAAATAATGAACTCTTTTTTTTTCCACTAACAAATATATTGTTAAGTTCCCTTCTCCTGTCTAGACTCTGGGGAATATGAGATTTTCGTTAGAAGGAAGTATTTTGAGTTTTTCAGAGGATGCTAAGACTCATAGACATGTGTCTGCCCTTTTGGAAAAAGTCCAGCTGTTTCCATCATCCATATGCTGTTGTGTCCTCTACAGTAAAATAATAATTCAGGACTGATTTCCCTTTACTACAAATTATGTCTTCAAAACCCCACACTCCAACTTCTCTGTTTACTATGTACTCTACTGAATGTTATTTTCTACCCTAGCTCTTTCTTTTGAAATCCTACCAATAGAAGCTTCATGACCTCACCCACAAATGCTGCCTACCTCCTCTGATCCCCCCACCCCATGACACTCTGGAACACTTTTCTGGTATTTATGGCCTTATACTGTAATCATGAGTGACTTTTGTCTTATTCTCTAACAAAAGATTAACTCTGAGAGGGCAGGGATGCTTTTCTCAAGTCTCTGATAATCAACAAATCAGCAAAAACACTTTTAATTGATTGTGTTATTCTTTATAATTAAGCCAATAATTATCTCTACTCAGATTTTTTAAACTGCCATTTTAGAGAACCAGCTACTTTCAAAACCACAAGGAAACATGCCTCTCAGATAAAAGCCCCATGTTACAGTTAATTTGAATCTATAAGAACATAAAAGAGGATTTTTCATTCAATCCATAAATAATTATTTGTCATTTACACTGCATAAGGAATTATTCCAGGAGAACTGAAGGTTGCACTGAAGAACTAATGTACACCCAAACTTGTGAAGTCTTATAAAAATAATTTATCAATCAATTAAGAGGTGATTATACAATTCAAAGGGATTTGAATCATGAGTTTGGGGCAAGAAAAATGATCTTGCTCATTCAGGCTCTTATCAGAAGTAGTTCAGTAAAATTGAAAAACCTAGGGCTCAAAAACCAGAAATAAGAGAGATTATTCCAAAATCTGCATGAAGGTGTTCTAATATAGTATCCATTGGCAGCATCAAGGAAAAGAAATATGAAGCAATAAGTATTAGCCATTTCATAAAAATTGGTGTCTCATTTTTCTCTGTAACTACCCTATAAATATCATTGAACCTGAGACAACATTGCACAGGAGAATGCTACTTCTATAAATTATGACAAAACGTTCTGTTATGAGCTGCTTTGGTTACCCATATGTAGGACCTGAGTTCTACTCCAATGACACCCTCATGACCAAGGGGACCCTACATAACCTCTCAGAACCTCTGCTTTTGTAAAGATAAAGTCATTTACTCACCAGGATCATGAGAACCTAACAACCTCAAATACATAAAAGTGAA